GAGGTGATAGTGCTGAGACTTAACCCCTAGGCCACCAGAGAATCCCCCTGTTTGTCCAGTCTTTGTTTAACTTTTGTGTGTGTGTGTTTTTGTGTGTGTTTTGTTTTTTAAGATTTATTTATTTATGCATACAGGAGCTCGGGTACAGGCCAGAGGTGAGGGGGGTGAGAGAATTCACCAGACAGGGTGGGGAACAGAACAGGCAGATTGACTGAAATACGCTGCTGAGGAGAGCAGCAGGCGAGCCAGGAGAAGTCTGCTGCGCTATGTGGGTAGCTCCCTGACCGGGGATTGAATTTGTGCTGCAGTGGCTGCGGATAGCTTCATAGGCTGCATCTTAACCCCTTGTGCCACCAGGGAGGCCCTCTTTGTTTAACTTTTTGAAAGTATATTATACCATCTTCATAACTGTTAATATTTTTTTTTGTCTGTTAATCCTGTCAATTCTGGGTCAATTTTGATTGATTAACTTTGTATTAGTATATATAAATTTTCTTACTTCTATGCTTTACCTGGTAATCTTTCATTAGATCTGGCATTGTGAATTTTATCTGTTGAATTCTTGCACTTTCTTGTGGGATTTGGTTTTAAATTAAAACAATTTGATCCTTTGGGGAGTTTCTTTTAAGATTTGTTCAGGTGGCATGTTTAGTCTAGGGCAGGGTTTCTCAGTGTCAGTACTGTATATAACATTTTGGGTCAGATAATTACTTTGTTGTTAAAGGCTATCATGTGCGTTATAGAATATTTAACAGCATCCCTAGGCTCTGGTCTTTAGATGGCCCCCATCTGCAAGTTGTGACAACTAAAATTTTCTCCATAAATTGCCTAATGTTGCAGGGGTGGGGGTTAGGGGGAATTATCCCTATAGAGAATGATTTCTTTAGGGTTTTTTGTTGGTTTTTGTTTTTTGCCTTATTGTGGCCACCTCTTTTCTGTGTACTCAACCCAATGCCCCGTGGATTGTAAATTTTTTTTTTTTTTTTGAGTCTGATAATTTGGGATAGACACCTTTATTGCCCTTGTTTGAGCACTGGGTATTGCCTTCTAATATTTCTGGGTGGTTCTTTCCTCAATCTTATTTGATTCATGCACTTAACTTGTGCTGGTGAGCATTTGCATGACTATTCAAGGGATACACTCTACAGATGTCTGTAGTTTCATCTTACTCTATTTGCGCTGCTATAACAAAACTACCGTAGACTGTGTGATGTGACTTACTTTTTTCGCTCACAGTTCTGGAAGCTGAGGAGGCTAAAATCAAAACATCAGTAGATTTGGTGTGATAAGGGTATTTACTTTGGTTCATCCATGGTCCTCTTCTAGTTTTGAATTTCCATTTATTTTTTGTGTTTTTTTTAAAGCTGTGACTTCCCATTGCAGAAGGGATGTATGAGAACTTTCAGGGGTATCTTTTATAAGGACACTAATTCCATTTAGACCCTTCGTGTCCTACTCACGCTCTAATACCATCACATTGGGGTTAGGATTTCCAGATATGAATTTGAGGCGCTCATAAACATGCAGTTCGTAACTAGTTTTCTGTGCATCTTTCTTTCTAGCATTCTAGTCCATGAGTACTAGTCACTTTGATCTCCCCAGGTTTCAGCTCCATCTTTCCATATCAGTGAATCTGTGAGACCTCCTCCAGTTTCTGTGCTGTTGTTCTCATGGCTTCAAAACTCTAAAGATGTATACTGGGTCAGTAGGGCTCACCTAACTTGTTTTTCAGGGATCTTAGGGATCTCCTTTGTTGTCGGATGCCTAGTATTTCCACTTATTTTTTGGCCGTTTTGTGTGGGAAAGTTAAATCTCTTTTCCTCTTAATGTATCTTGGCCAGAAGCAGAAGTCCCTTTAACTGATAATTGGTTCATATTATTTGTTAAAGCTGAAAGTGTTCTTAACCATTTACTAAGTTGATTTTTTTTAATTTTGTGAATTTGTATGAGACCTATAGTTACATTCTTTGTTCAAAGTCTCCTATTCCTTGTACTTCCTATGGCACAATATAAATATGAAATTGACCCCGAAGCTTTTATCCTCTGTTAATATGCCTCTTGCTTGCCGATTTTTACAGTGTTACCTAAATATAGGCCTCTAACTATATGTAGTAGCATGCAATTAAAGGGCATGCCCTGACCTGTTGAAGCACAACAGTGGAATGTGTGTCATCATCTTAGGGCATTGAAGCTCAAAGACTTCCAGGAGCCTTCCTTGTATGATAATTCATGCTTTCTAGCCACTAAAATGCCAACATCAAAGTCTGTTTGTTAGCCTGAATAAGGGTGTAAAGAACTGGTGATCTAAGATGGAAAAGAAAACGTATGAGAAGATCATTTTAAGCAGTCTGCAAGACGAATGTATTGAATATTAATGCTACAAGGATGGGAGTGACTTGGAACCCACTGGTGGTAAGCTATTAAAGAAAGAGGAAGGGTAGCCAAGTAACAATTTTTAAAAATCTTTTTTAATTTCTGTAGTAATTTCTGTGAGTGGAACTTCTTAGTCTTGCTACATTGTAACTGTAGAATCTATAGCCTGTTCTTACTGCATATTCAAGGATGAAGTAATTTATTCAGATCATACCTTGGGGACTGATGGATATAATGGATAGGATGAAACCGTCTGTCTATGTATATGAAGTAAAACACAGCAAAATCATATTTTAAAGGAATTTTATATATGATTATAAGCAATATAAAATTATGTGCTTCTTGTCTTTAAGTCCCATGTTAAAGTGTCTGACACTTTAACACTGTTAAGTAATTTATAATTCCTTGACTTTTGGGATGGTGATGATATACTATAGTTACAAAGAAGAGCTGAGCAAGAGTTTTTGTAGTTCTAAAGTATATAAGAATTGACTTTTAAAACGTCAACTTCTTATGGATGGATTTACTGTTAATTTTTTAAGACTGAAAGGCTTTTGTAGATTGACAATATTAAAAGCTCTATTGGCACGAAATAGATCTTATTCCAAAAGTCTTTCAAAAAGTAGGATTGCTTTTGAGTAATAAATAAATAATTAATGAGTGTATTTCTTGTTTGCTTAACATTTTTGATGGTGTAAGTAATGCTTTTATAGTTAATTCTTTTTTCAAGTGAGTATAAGTCTTCATGACAAGTTTGTGAATGTGAGAAGAATGCATTTTTGTTTTCCTCAGTATAGGGAAGCATAGAAGGTTTTTCATAGCGGAAAATTCATGTTATAAAGGAATGATAGCTCCCCAAATCAGGAATTATTACATCTTAGAGGAGAAAAAAGGAAAGCCATCAGGGAGCGATATTCTTTTGCATTGATGTTTTTTTATTTTTTAAAGCAAACTTTTAAAATAAAGTTTTAACATATTGTAGAGAAACGTATATAGATCATAGGCATACAGCTTGATGAATTTTCACAAAGTGAACTTACTGATATAACTCATGCCCAGATTAATAAACAGTGTTTGCAATTGGAAGAGTGTAATATTTGTTGTATCATTTTCTTTTTTAAAAAAATCCTTCAGTTTTCCTACTGTGTTTTTAAAAATCATGTCAGATTTAGTCTTTAGAGATTTGAAAAATACCAAAATTCCCACTCTTTGGTAACTGAGATAACACTTTAGAGAAAAAATAGATTTTTCCTATGTAGGTCTTTGTCTTGTGTATCTGATAAAATTTATAAAGCTGGTGTAGGGCCAAGTAACTCAATTTTAAGGAAAAATAGGGGCTTCCCTGGTGGCACAAGGGGTAAAGTCTCAGCACTATCAAGCTGTCACCAGCCACTGCCGTCATTAGTTCCATCCCTGGCCAGGGATCAGAGGTGCATCAGACCTCTCCTGTTTCACCTGCTGCTCCCTTCAGCAGTGTATTTCAGGAGATCTGCATGTTCTGTTCCCCACTCTGTCTCTGGTGAATTCTCTAGCCCCCTGCACCTCTGGCTTACATCCCAGTTCTTGTGTGTATAAATAAGTAAATCTTTTTTTAAAAAAAGGGAAAATAAACAGTCATGTGGGATCAAATGGTAAAAATTATTAGTGTTTTTGAAAGCAGTACATTACTGGACTTTTATAACTGAATTATAAAGTTTTGGTCCCTGGATTTACAGGTACACTGAAATGACAATTTTCTTTTTAAAGTGTTATCACTAAAATCTCAGTGGTAGTTTAAGAAGGAAATTCTTTGTTCAATTCTATAATAGAAGATTCAAAGTATAGAAAGAATTTGGCTGTTTAGCTTTAAGTTTACATATAGATGTTCATTAAAAATTGTTATATGTATAGTAAATATAATAAACTTGACATATGGACTTTGCTGAAATTACTTGTAGTGTTTTGTTTTGTGGTTTTCTGTTCCAAGAAGGGGGAGATACTTATTCCAAGACTTGAAGATCTCTGAATTTTAATTTTTACATATAACTGAAGTTTCTATATTTTATAAGATTCCTTTAAAGGGTGTTCTTCTCAGTTCTCAAGAGTAGGCTTTTTCTTCTTTTTTTTTTTTAAAGATTTATTTTATTTATACAAGAGCCAGGGTACAGGCAAGATGCACAGGAGGGTGAGAGGATTCACCTGAGGCAGAGCAGGGAAAACAGAACAGTTAGACTGACAAAATAACACTGCCGAGGGGAGCAGTAGGCGAGACAGGAGAGGTCTTGCTCGCCATGTGGGTTGCTTTGAGGCCGGTGGGGTGGGGATCAAACTAGCTCTGCAGAGGCTGCGGACAGCTTCACAGCACTAAGCTCAACTGCCTGCGCCACCAGGGTGGCCCTAGGCTTTTTCTAATGGTCATTAGCCTTCCTTGTGCTGTTGTGGTTATATACATAGATGTGTTCGGATGTCAATCTTTTGAATACCACTCATTATTGAGTAATTTTTGTTTCTTTTCCTTTTTTCTAGAAGCCTTAGGCCAGTGTAGGTGAATTACTCTTTCTGGTATGCTTGTGTATATTTGGTCTTCAAAGCAGTTGTTTGGACCCACTGAAGTTATTGGGTTTTTTTTCCCTGTTTTCCCTTGACAGAAAGTAGAAGAGGAAATGGCTGGTCCTAATCAACTTTGCATTCGCCGATGGACCACCAAGCATGTAGCTGTTTGGTTAAAGGATGAAGGCTTTTTTGAATATGTGGATATTTTATGCAATAAGCACCGACTTGATGGAATCACATTGCTAACATTGACTGAATATGATCTCCGGTCTCCTCCTCTGGAAATCAAAGTCTTAGGGGATATTAAAAGGTTAATGCTGTCAGTCCGAAAATTGCAGAAAATACATATTGATGTTTTAGAAGAGATGGGATACAACAGCGACAGCCCCCTGGGTTCCATGACTCCTTTCATCAGTGCCCTGCAGAGTGCAGAGTGGCTCTGTAATGGGGAGCCTTCACATGACTGTGACGGACCCATCACTGATTTGAATTCTGATCAGTTCCAGTACATGAATGGTAAAAACAAACATTCTATTCGAAGATTGGACCCAGAGTACTGGAAGACCATATTGAGTTGTATATATGTTTTTATAGTATTCGGGTTTACGTCTTTCATTATGGTTATAGTCCATGAACGAGTGCCTGACATGCAGACCTATCCACCACTCCCAGATATATTCTTAGACAGGTAAGTTTTATTTATAGTTGCCAAATTTGTAGAAGAGTGCTATAGCAATAATGATAATAAATTTATGATACTTACATGTTTTTGTTTTTACCGTTGTTTTGATTGATGCATATTTTTTGTTGGCTTTATATGGTGGTATATTTTTTGTATGCAAAGAATATAAAAATATGCTTTGCACTTGCTTTTTTCTCTTAAAGTAATTAGACCTTACAACTAGGTGAGTGCACAAAACCACTGCTTAATTTTTAACCTATAGCAATAGTTCCTTGGGCATTTCAGATTTTAAAACAGTTTCCTGGAATGTTGTTTTTAATAAATCAATTTTTTTAATGATGAATAGGATTATTATGCTTTTCCAAAAATGTGGGTGGTCTCTTCTATCACCAGATAAATTGGAATTATCACAAATAATGTAAGCTGATTCACTGATAGTATTGTTTTTATTAAATGCTAGATGCATAAAAAAGAATGCAATACATATAAATAAAAATGGAACAAATACTCAACTATTAGTGTTCATATTTCTGATTTTAAAAACCTTTTTAGAGTTTGTAGTGTTTTCTTGTTTCTTTTTAGAAAACATTTTGCCCTGTAGTAAATGTGCTTTATAGTATATGTATTTTTTAAAAGATTTATTTTTGCATACATAAACTGGGGTATAGGGCAGAAGTGCTGGGGGTGGAAGGATTCACCAGAGACAGAGTGGGGAGCAGAATAGGTGGATTGACTAAAATATACTGCTGAGAGGTACACCGGGTAAGATAGGAGAGGTCTGTTGCGTTGTATGGGTTAGCTCCCTGGCTGGGAATTGAACCATGCTGCAGTGGCTGGCGATAGGTTGATAGCGCTGAGACTTTAACCCCTGTGCCACCTGGAAGGCCCAGTATATGCATTTTTAAATAATGGGAATTAAAATGTCTACATTAAGATGGCAGAGTGATAGACAAATCACATTTGTCTCCTCTCAAACCTAGGCTACTAGTAAAGAGGTTTTTTTGTTAAGTCATAGGCCCACAAGGATGGGCAGATAAGATAAGAGGAGAAAACAGCCATACATTTTTGAAAATTTGAAAAGGAGATGATGAGTGGCAACTGGCAGACCTAAAATAACCTAATTTTAAAACAGTAGTTGTGAAAACTGAGAACTAGCCCAATTTGTGTTATAGATTTCTCAAAGCTCTGGATACTGCACATCAAAGTGTGGTACTAAAATAAGGAGACTCATGAAAACTGCTGAAGAAGCTATTAGCTATTAGTTCCTCTGCTGTTTATAATTTTTCCAACTGAACTGGACTTACTACTGATGTAAGGAAGAAAGCATGTGGATCTCCATTGTAATAATTGATTCAAGCATGCTATTAGTGGGTACTAAAATCCATTAGATGAAAGGCCATTGGGGAGCAGGATAGTCACTTGATCTGAAAGAATCATCTCATCTATTACTTAATTACAGAGGGATAACTTAACTATGGCAAGATGAGGCATGTAACATTTTTAAATTTTTCAAATAACATTTTTTTTAATAGACAGGTTTGAGATATATGGCTTAATAAATACTACATTATGTTCAGCACCAACATTCTAGTTTCCATCTATCACCATACAGTTGACCCCTTTCACCCAATTTACAGACCCTCTTTCTACTTTTCCTTCTGGTAACTACTATTTATTCTTAAAAATGAACTTTTTCTGAAAGAAATTTTTGTTTTTATTCATTCATTTGTTTTGTCTTTGGTGGGGGGTTGGGGATTAGTCTGATTGCATTTGTTTTGTTTCTTTGTCTACAACATGCTAGTGACATTATATAGTGTTTGTTTTTCTCTGTCTAGCATATTTCAATAAGCATAACACCCTCTAGTTCCATCCTTTGTGGTACAAGTGACAGGATTTTGTCTGTTTACAGAAACAACTGAGTAGTATTCCTTTTTGTTTATATACCACATCTTTATCCACTCATCTGTGGATGGCAACTTAAGTTGTTTCTAACTCTTGGATATTGTAAATAATGCTGCAGTGAACATGGGGGTACATATGTCTCTTCAAATTAGTGTTTTGGATTTTTTTGGTAAATATCCAGAAGTGGAATAAATATGATGGTTTATCTTAAGTTTTTGTGTAATCTTCACACTGTTTTCCATGATGATGATACCAGTTTATATTTCTATAGTGTACAAAGGTTCCCTTTATTTATGACAGTAACCATTCTCTTGGGTATGGGGTGATACCTTATTGTGGTTTTTATTTGCTTCTCCCTAGTAATGAGATGATGATTGTCTTCATGTGCCTGTTGGTATCTCTATGTCTTTTCTGTTTTTTAATCTGGTTACTTTTTATTGTTTAATTTTATGATTTTTTTATATATTATAGCTAATAACCCCTTCTCTGTATATGATTTGCAGATATGTTATTCAGTGGGTTTCCTTTTTGTTTTAATTATGGTTTCTTTCACTGTGCAGAAACTTTTTAATTTTTAGTCTCATGTACTTTTGCTTTGTTTCCCTTGTTAGAGACATCCACAAAGATACTGCCACAGTTGATGTTAAAGAACTTATCTGTGTTTTCTCCCATGTGTTATATGGTTTCAGGTCTTGCAGTCAAGTGTTTAGTCCATTTCGAGTTTATTTTAGTGTATGGTATAAGGTTGTAGTGTAGTTTCATTCTTTTTATAAGTGTCCAGTTTTCCCAACACGAAACTTACCTTGTTACATTTTAGGTTCTTAGCTCCTTTCTCATAAAGTATTTGTCACATATCTGTGGGTTTATTTATGTTCTCTCAGTTCAGTTCACTGTTCTGTGTGTTTTTATTCTAAAACCATGCTTTTTTGATTATTATCATTTTGTAGAATAGTTTGAAGTTGGGGACATGACACCTCCACTTGGTTCTTCATTCTTAGGATTATTTTGGCTCTTGAGTCTTATGTTCCCAAATAAATTTTATGATTTTTTTTTTTTTTGGGTTTTATTTCTCTGAAGGATACCATTGGGATTTTCAAAGGGATTGCATTGTATATTGCTTTAGGTAAAATGGCCATTTTAACTGTTTTTATTCTTTCAATCTGCAAGCACAGGATTATCTTTCATTTTCTTCAGTTTCTTCCAGTAGTGGCTTATAGAGGTCTTTTACCTCTTTAGTTAAAATTAATCCTAGGTATTTTATTGGTGCAACTGTAAATGGAATTTTTTATTTCTTTTTTTATCTAATTGCTCTATGATTTTTAATACTATGTTGGATAATGTGTTAGTGAGCATGCTCATTTTGTTCCTGATCTTAGAGCAAAAGCTTTCAATTTTCACCTTTGAATATAATGCTGCCTGTGGATTTGTTATATGTGGGTTTTATTATATTGTGATACTCTCCTTTTATGTGTCCTTTATTGAGAGTTTTTATTATAAATGGGTATTGAATTTTGTCAAATTGACAATCCAGCATTTTAACCAGATGATCAAAAGTAGTATCACAGTGAGACAAACTGGTTATGTGCATTAGATGTTATATTCACATTACCTATGGTAACAGTCTTCCCTGCCCCCCTCCCCCAAAAAGATTAACCTAAATCTACTCATGAGGAAATATTCAGACAAATTCAGAACATGGAACATTCTATAAGACAAGTGATCTGGACTTTTCATAAATGTCAGTGTCATGGCAGAAGTAAGCCAGCCAGGGGAAATTGCAAGGGAAATTGAAGAGTCATAGCAAGAACAATGCATGAACTTTAATTGACTCCTTTATCAAGCCAAAAACAAAAGCACTGTTATAAAGGACATTTCGGAGACAATTAGGAAAATTTGAATATGAACTGCATATTAAATAATCATATAAGTCAATGCTAACAGTTTCCTGGGTTTAATAGTGTATTTGGTTCTTAGGGAATACATATTGAAATAGTTAGCGTTAAGTATCATCATCTGCAACTTACTTTGGGGGTTCATTCTCCTCCTAAAGAGCATGTGTGTATGCATATGTTGGTATGTACAAAAAGTGAAATAAAGCAAATGTGGCCAAATGTTAATTATTGTAAACGATTTATGGATTTAGGTAAAGAATATAAAGTGTTTATTCTTTCAACGTTTCTTTAGTAAGATCACAATTTTAAAAGTAAAAAAAAAATGGGTGAGGAGACCATGAGAAGGCAAATGGAAAGAGAGACATTGGAAACTATCAGGTCTTACAAGTCTTCCTGCAAGGCAGCAGAGAAGTGAAGCTGGAGCTTGGGGAGAGAGAGAAAGGATATGGAATCACTGTGGGGTTTTGGGTAGGGGTGGGGATAGGGGTGAGGGGAATAAGTATATTATATCATGTTTATTGTATTGATAATAGGAATGACCCAAATTGGGGGGAGAGGAGTGATGTTTGAGGAAAGACAGGATGTAGTTGTTGTAGTCATGCCTTTGGGAGGATGAAAAGGGATGAAATCTAATAGATGGGAGAGAACTGGCCTCTAGGTGCATGCAATGCTCATCACAACAGAGGGAAAGGTAGAAAATATGAAAATATAATGGTAGAAGGTGCTAGATGTGACAGTGGTACACAGGGAAGTAATTTCCTGATTGTTTTTATTTCTTCTATGAACAGCATGGGGATTTGAAGAGAAAATGAAATATAAAATAGTCATCTGGGAAAGTGAATTGACTTGTGTGGTGTGGCAGCACTAAAGTTCTTCAAGTTAGTAGTCATATTTGTACGTTTTGTACACTCAACTGCAAATAACAGGAATGGAGAATGGTTGAAGTTTTGTCCAGTTAATAAGGAATAAGGGCAAGGGAGACATTATAATAACTGACCATGAACTCATTGCATAAGGGAGGGATGTGAGGTATGTGAAGAGCAGTGAAAATGTTATAAGAGCAATGTATTTTAGGTTTTAGAATTATTGAACTTGGAGTATAAGGAGTAAGATGGAAAGACAGAGTTGATTAGCATAGGATTCTTGAAATTATGAGGTGTTATCTTAGTAATGACAAGGTCCAGGTTATAGCCATGGATTTGGTTCACTGAA